AACGATGAAAACGGGTAGGCTTTGACGTTGCATAAAATATAGTGTGAGCACGCACATGATACGCTGATTTAAAATGAAACAGCCCTACGTTTTACACTAGCGTTGAGTGTGTCGAAAGTTAAGGGTGCATCAAAAGCTAAAGCTTGTACACATATACTGCTCAGGCCATTGTGTTTGAATGCTCACAGTAATTTATTACCCTCAGATTTGGTGTAAGTTGTCTCCTGATTGCTTACAACAGAAAGAAGAAAACATTCTAACTCTGGATTGGTAGAAAAACTCCACCTGCTGACGGCCACCAATCATCTCGGCGCCGATTATATATTCACTGCATGCCAACGGTCGCGTGCTAAGAACGAGTTTTTCCCACGTGATTTCATACGATCGCAATTGTTCTTGACAAACAACAATGTTTAGTCAGGCAAGCGGTGATATGTGAAGCTTAGAATATTTTCTATTGATTGTGGCACACGTGGCAAGTTGCATAATTTTTTTTTCTAGAATTCCCGAAAAAGAATGCTCTTGGGTTACCTTGGTCTCTAATCATTCATCATAAAAGAGCACGAACTGAATCGCTGTTTGAAACGAAAACAATAATGATAAACAAGCGTGTAATCACGCGAACACTGAGGGCATTGCACATATACAGAAGGTAAGCTTTGTCTCACTAAATACATTACCAATAAGATATTTGGTTTTATCCTGCGAGCGAAGCGGAACATACAAGTGCGAGCATACTGTCCTCAACTACACTTCCAGTGAACAAGCGCACCATCCAAAGCACCGAGCTCGCTTTTATAGCGTTTGGTGCGCTCAACGATCCCCACTGGAACAAGCGCGCCATCCAAAGCACCCAGCTCGCTTTTATAGCGTTTGGGGCGCTCAAACCTTTGAAAACACAATTATAATCAATTCTCTTATTTCAATTATTTTATTAAGTGCGCCTATGCGTGTTTTCTTTCTTTTTTTTTTTTTTTACTTTTACATTCACGTGCCATTTTCTTAGTTATATATTATTTTCCCAGAAGTCTGACAACTATAGTCTGTTTCATTATAAGTAAGAGCCACATAATCAAAGATGTAGACAGAAAATTAAAAATAAAAAAGAACGCGAACACACAATAAAAATGCGATGTAACGGCGCATTCAAAATTAGTCGTTAGTTTTTTTAGAGAGCAGCAATTTCGTAGGACGACATTGTTACCCGATGAAGGTTATAAAAAGTGCAGTGCAACTGCTAGCTCGGGGTCTTTAACGTGCATTACGCGTATATGTGATACACGATCGCATGACGGTAGTATGCAGATGGGCGACTGAACCCAGGGTCCCTGCTAAAGCCCCTTGATAAAGGCGTTTTTTACAAGTACACTGTTAGCGAAAATGTAATATTTCGCCTGTTTACACCCCATTTTCACTCGTTAGCATATTTTTACACGCTCTGCTAGTGATAAATCGTCAAAAAATTACTTGGGGTCGTAAAAATTGGTGTTTCGGTTTCGGTTTACATGACTAGGCGTGTAAGCAACACTGAAAACACCCCAGCCCAACCACGTGAGCCCAACGAGCCCAACACCCCAACCATACCCCAAGACAAGACGTCGAGCGCCATGTTGCTTCTGCCTTGAAGCGGTACGGCGGACGTAGCAGCCGAAGGTGAGTGTTTGATTTTTTTTATCAAGTTTGTATAGAATGTAGCACGTCTCAGATTTTTATTACATGTCATTCAAGAACGTTAGATTTGCTTTGAGCAAGCCGGCTCAGGCGTTAAGCCCGATTCACACAACCGGCGTTTAGCCACCCCGTCGATTGGAAACGACTCGACTGCTCGCCGGTTCTTTTGCGCGAGCTTTCGCTCGGGCGCTGGGAACCCTATGAACTGTGGTGCTTAAAGCTAGCACAATTAGGCACGGCTAGCGTCCCGGTGGAAGCTGCAGAGAGCGGAAACCGAAGACACCGTCGCATAAGAGTGGCGAAGCCGCGATCCTGCGCTGATCGTTGTCCCGCCGCTCTCTCCGGCAATATCGACACTTCGCTGCTGGGTGTCTCGTATTTCGACGTTTTAGAGAAACTTGGCATTGGCAAGCGCGAGGAGTCTCTATATCGTTTTCTCCGTCGCCTGCGTGGAGGAAACACGGTGGCGATAGAAACATATGCTCATGCAGTCGGTCAACTTAGACAATCCCCCTGTTCCCTCAATCCTATCGCATTCTTTGACTGCGTTTGTGACAACAACGTTTCCCCAGTGTGAAAGCTTTCAGTCACAACGGGCTACAAACTGGGTTGTGCATTGCATGTAGCCCTGAGGGAATTCTTCGCCGGAGACACCAGCACATTAGTTTCATTGGTAAGGTGACCGGCCACTAACGTGTTTGGCAAATGAAGCGATCACGGGTAAGTAGAAATGCAAACAATGTTGAATGAATATTAAGGTGGTTGTAGCCAGAGCCTGCCAGTTGAAATCAACCTTTAACAATATAGTCTGCGGTAACTTCTTTTTGCACTTAGGATTGCAATTTTAAACACAAAGCCACTCCACATAGCTGTCGAAAATCGTGTAAACAACAGCAGTCATCGTCCCCGGTTCGGATGAGCGAAGCCTTAGCTTGATGAAAAGAATGGCGGTCTATAATTCTTGGTTGTTTCAATCACAACCTCGCACAGCTGAACAGACAAACAAATCAAGGAAATATATCCCGCGCTGGCTTGCAAATCACAGCACACAAGCAGGGTACGTAGCAGAGCAGAAAACACTGGCAATGAGCACACGGAGGCATGCAGCTTCCTTTCTTTTTCCCTCGGCGAATGATTGGTTTGCTGCAGCATTCCGTAAGCATGTCGACATTCAAAAGTTGAGCCTGATCTGTCTTGCAGTGCCTTGCGGAACGGCAAGTATCGCCCACCATTCCACAAGGCACTGCAGGACTCGCAAATGTGTGAACAGTGCTTTGCAATAAAGGCCATGATCGGGCAGCAGGTGCCCATCTAAAGACATTTAATATTGATTGGCATTGAACTAACCTTTGGGCTTCATCACGTAGCAAGCATGGGTGAGGTATAATTCAAGAACATTTAATGTTAATACGTTGTGGTGCTTTCCCATATGTTTCGGTGTCACGGAGTGGGGTTCAAATTAATAAAAATAATTCAATGATCCACTCTGAGAATAAACGAGAAATTACGGGAAAAGAACAAGAGAGCTAAGTTCGACCATTGACTAGCGCTAGGTCCACGCCTGGTGTACAATCAGTAGAGAAAGATGATGACACAGGGAGGATAAGCAAACAAAAGATTAGATTTAATAAAGTGAAAAACTAAGCTGTACACGGCAATAGAGCACTCAACACAAACCACACTCCAGCTCAAAGCTATGGAGCCCTGCGAGCCAGAAACTAATACTAAAAAGACTCGACGCTCATAAAACCGGAATGAGCCAACAAAACAGTGACGAAAACCCGACACTAACAACGAGAGCAAACCGAGATGGAGCTCGAACGTTACCGCTACACACATGGGATAATCCCCCAAAACAGTCGCGACAGAAAGTAGCACTGTGTAAAAATCTTCCCAGCATTCAACAATTCGTACTTCAGAGCCAGAGAATGCAGTAGACAAGTCCTAGAAAACCAGGCTTAGCTTTCTGGTAGGTGCCGAGTCCAGAGCAGTCCGTAGTCTGGAGTTGTCGGCCGAAGAACGGCGTCTCGAAGTCCAGCGGTCCAATTAGAGGCTTGATGAGGTCGACACCGCGCACCACACAGCCACACACGCTTCAGCACAACAAACTCAAACACTTGTCCGACAGGCAGGGCAGAAGCCAAAAATTACACGTTCCATGACTCATCTGCAGGGAGTAACCGCGTTGAGTAGCGACCCGGCCAGCTCTGGGGTTGGACTACCTTCTTTGTTCCCGAACCCCCTTTTATAGGCTCGTCTACCGACCAACCTCCCGTTTCCCCGCCTTTCGGGTCAGTCAACTTTCAAGAAAAACAAAGCTACACAGCAACGACCCAAATGGCAAAACCTATTACATTTTTCAGACAACCAAACATATGTGCCCATCCATTCCCCCGTACGAGTCCAAAAACATCAATTATCGCCGATATATAGAACACGACAGGCGGCAGACTGAGCAAAGCCGCCGCCTTCAAAAAGCGTGCTAGCCAGCGTAAACATCTTTGTATCCCGGCGGCGCCCCTGCATGTCAAATCGGCACCATACGCGAGCCAGCATACGCACCCCTCCATCCGCGAGGTCAAAGCCACAAACTGTGACCTGGGATGATCTACGTCGCCCGTTAACAAAAACCCATTCCGCAAACGAGCAAATTCGTTGGGGACTTAGAAAGGAACTACGACGGGACGAACTGAGATTAAAAGTGGCACCACACTCCCCCTTTTTGACCGTACCAAAACTTAAAGTGGTCCAAAAAAAAGATCATAAAAGTATTTAAAAAAATGAAGAGAAGCCTGAATTTGTGACACCCGGTTTCTCCATCCTGTGTTTTTTTTGTGCTTTTTCTATTACGAAGCGAGACATTATTCCAGCCGTAGGCACCAGATGTAATTCCCGTCTGCAATCATAAGATTATAGGATCCTAACTGCCGGCAGCTAAGTGTCAATTACATCCGGCTTGTGCATACAGTGCAACATCTTTTGCTATTCAGCCGATCATCACTTTACAGCCTGGGTATCTGTTCTTGTAAACGACAGTAGTGCTACATGTTAAACGGCTCTAAAGCGATAGAGCAAACTTCGCATCTCATTATCTTTTAGCTGAATAAACTGTTTGTTTGGTTATGCTTGTTATCCAATTTTTGTTTTAAATTTAATTTTCTCATATAAACACCTTACATTATAGAAAAAAATCTTTTTATAGTACGGAGGTGTCCATATTAAGAAGACATGACTGTATCATCTTTGAAACTAGTTTGCCACAGCCAGTGTTATAATATGTATTGATTTTTTATGCAGTGCCTGCCTTTCCTTGCCCCTTGTGAGGACGACTGAGAAAGCGACTTTGCGCCACAACGACGGATGGCAAGTGTCCCAAGTGTTGTCACCTATAGTGGTCATGTGCTATGTGTTCGCAGCATTGTAAGCCGACCGTGGAGCACTTTCAAAAGGGAACTTTCGCCATGTGCACAGTATGGCCGTGTACAATACGGGGCACGTACAGTCAGAAGAATTATGAGAGGGAACATGCGGGCGCGTGTCACTTGGTACAGGCAGAGCAGCCTAGCAAGTGTCATGCTTGTGCACTGAGGGGCCCTGGTTTGAAGAGCCGAGGCAGAAGTTTCAGCGGCGGTGTCACCGCCCTGGCGGCTTGTCGCCGAAGCAGAAACGGGGTTAGCTAGCTTTGCTCGTGGCTGGCTTTGTGTAGTGTGTGTAAACCGGGAACGTAGGCTTATGAACTTCGGCAACAAGAATACTACACGGCTTTGGTGTTTTGGTACGAGCAACAAACGTGACACTATCTGCTACGACTAGCTACGACCACCCACCGCAGCGGTGAAGGCATCGAAGAAGCAGAACCTGTGTATTACGCCGTTGCCGTAACCCAACAGTGCTCATTTGTCATGGAGGGCTTCCCGCCCAGAGACTTTGCTCGTCACTGAGTGTTATTTCCCGTGTTTCTCTTTGTGTGCTCAGTGGCTGGACGGGCCTCATACAGCAGTTCTTCAGGCTCAAAGGTGACTAAAAGTTGAGGGTGGATGGACTTGCAGCAATCCCCTCGGTTGGTGCGTGTGACAGAACCTTTGTACGGCATCATCGGGAGGATGCTGTTGTGAGTTAGCAAGTTGTCCAATTGTATGTTCATTATGCTAATATTTGAAAAAGCTTGTTTAAAAGGATGCTGGACCAAAATTTGGATTTCATAAAATAAGGTCGCGGAAGCTTTGAATGGGAGCTCTACAAACTCCGAAACATCACTCATACATTAATATCGCAAACGGATGGCCGTATTCTTGGAAAGGAAAGGGCACAATCAAACAAGAAATGTGACATCATACTTCTGGTACACTTTAGAATGAGGGGAAGCGGCCTCGCTTCTTTCATTCCCGCTTCGGTTCACCTGCTTAAAGGCCGGCCCGCAAGCAGAGAGAAGGAACCCGACCCTCACTTTCCTTCTCGCCACTGTGAAAGGACGAAATAGCCTCTCGTTTCCTCCTCGCCGTTTTCCGTTTTTTTTTTTCTTTTTTTGCTAACTGCTTGTTTTTTTTTTTTTGTTTTTTTACAAGTTTGGGGTGGAGGAAATGAAAGCTTCGAGGATTTGAAAAGATTATCCAGAAGCCAGCCGGCACACCTGCGACAAGGAGCTGAACCAACCGAGTAACTGTTTTGAGCGAGCTTGGCACTTGCTCTTCCCAACGAGTTGCATTGGCTCTTTTTTAGCATTGGTTTGGAAGACGATTCTTTGCTGTTGTGAGAGCACAAATACCTCGTTCTGCTCAAAGAAGTAGTCATTAAAGTATCAATTTTAATATAAATATCTGATCTGGCATATTTCGTTGTCGGATTCATGGTGACAACGGGAAGTACGAGCGGCGTTTTCTGTATATCAGGGATGGCACTCCATAGACCAGTGGTTCTGAATCATTATGGTTCGTAAACCGCCAGAGGTGACGGAGGACCCCATCCGTAGTGGGTCTAGCAGTTTTCGGCGTGGAGCGTTTTGCTGTAGGGCATTTCGGTGCGGACGTTTCGGTGCACGGACGTTTCAGTGTACGGACTTTTTGCTGCAAAGACTTTTTGGTGTGGGACTTTTCGGTGCGCGGATATTTCGGTGCACGGACATTTTGATACATGGACATTCGACGCTATGGTTTGCTCTCCGGTATCTCTTTTCCAACGTACGCAGACACGCTTCACATTGTGTTTGCGCGTTGAGTTGATAGAGATAGTCTCCTCTATAAGGTTTTTGCTTTATTATTGGTCATACGTGTAGGAAAGGACCCAAACAGCAAGACGTTTGAGGCTGTTTGTGTATTCAGAACAATTTTGAATATCTTCAAATGCGCCGCCTCCGCGTAATCGCACAGCTTCGATTGTTAATAATAAATTGTGATAACCTCGCACGACAAAAAAAACAATGTAATTATCACTTGTAACTCATTAGGGAATACAGGAGGCGTGTGCGGGTACAAGATAAGTGTAATAAAATCAAATATCGATTTGAATCAAGTAAAACAAGTGGAATTTGGTGAATGCTAAATCTATTTTATTTGGTATCAAATGTTTGCTCATTCTCGTACGAAAAAAACAAAACAAAAAAAAAAACAGTGACCATGCACAGAGCATACACAGCGTATGATCTGTGGTCAATGTCTCCTTCCATGCCGTAATGATGTCGCCGGACGTAAAGAACTGCCTTACAATCCTGCTTATTCAGGGCGATCTTTTTTTTTTAACGACTAGACATTTTTCTACAAAAGACGTTCGAGTTACGCAATTTCGGTTTGTGCCTTATCTGTAGTCATCAAAAACACCAAATCATTCATTTTTAAAGAGATGTAGTGCACGTGAAATGGTTCACGGCGTCCTAAAGAGCCTAATTTGGACGCGAATCGTGTTACCGCAATCTTTTCGGCCGCCGCACTCCTCGCCCCTTCTACAGTGGCGTTGTCTCAGCGATGCGCATGATTTGCCGTTTTGGCTTCATGGCGTTAGGCTGTGCCACGCGGAGATGGAGCCCACATAAAATCAGAACTATATTTTCGCGCCCAAATTAGGACGACGCCCTATCAAGACGCCGTATAACAGTGTACGCGCTTTACATCTTTTTAAGGATGGACGGTTTGGTGGCTCGCGATTACGGCCAACAACTTTCTAAATACACGATGTCGTTTTTTTTTTCTAACTAAAAGGTTAATTAGCGAATTTTAGGCAATCGATCGGTTTTAGTTGCGTTCTTTATTGAACCTAATCCTCGCCTGGCCGTATAGCTCACCTACACAAATCGCAATGGCGCTAATTTTCACTGGACAATTTGGTGGCTTTCGATAATGCCCAACAACTTTATGAATCAACTATCCCGTTTTCTTTTATATTCAAAAAGTTAATTAACAAATGTTAGGTAACCAGTCGGTTTTTGTTGCGTTCTTTCTTGAACCCAATCTTCACCTGGCCGTGTAGCTCACATCCACAAAACGTTAATTTGCATGTTTTTTTCTAATATCTTGTAGGTGAAAAAAAAAGAAAGAAAATCAACGCTGTATATAAAACAGAGGGCAGTTCTTTTCTGATATAAATAAAGCGTGAAGCACGTGCCTTGCATGCATCTCTCTTTTTTTTCCCGGCCTCTAAAAACAAATTTCTGGACATTCGAAATTGAGTTTATGATGGGGCGGGCGCTTTATCACAAGGTATTTTGTCATGTTTCATAAGCTTTGTTACAGGTCAGAAGGAAGCCACGGCAGTCGTATCACGTTGCAAACAGCTAATTGGGGTGTTTCTCAAGGAGCTCTAGGACTTTCCAATTAGCATTTCGGTTCTTAATACATTTAAAAAAGTTTGGTACTTAGTCCTAAACATTTAATTTATGAGGCATAATTAAAAATACTGCAACTCTCGCAAGACGTCTGCCCAAAACATAAAGTTCGTTTCATTGGCGTAAAGTGGCTGCGCTCTAATTTCGCGTTACAGAGATTTGCAAGCGTCTTTCATTTTTATGCTTGGTTTTTAAAGATTCGTGAAAAGCATTCTCGAACTTATCTGTCAAGCCGCGTACGCGGACAGCGCGGCCTCCTCGGCAAGTTGTTCGAAGACGACAATGAATAAAAGGTACGATCAAAGTCTTAATTCCTGAAGAAAGCGCAAGTTTAAAATAATTCTAGGAGCGTCAGTTGATTTTATTTCTACTATATTCAAATTTCAACACTCGTCGCAGGCAGCATGAAAAAAAGCACTGCACTCTTGGCGCAAACCAGTGCCCAGCCAATGGTCCTACACTCAAACACGCATCACAACCCGACCTGTTTGAAAAATAAATAATTTCCAGTACCTTGGTACAAAAGGCGACTTTTCTACTGAGCGTGATATTTTGTGGACCCAAAAGTCCTGTAGCCGAGATTTGGTAGTTCATAGCTTCAGGGAGACGAAGAATGACGGATGCATTATTTCCCGCGGAAGTACTGTTTTGACGTTGAATTCCACATAAAATTGTATTTGCACCCATTGGGTGGCACGATACCGATCATGCTTGATTACTTTTCTTTTAGAGACAACATAACAGGCATAATCTACAGATATTGCAGAATTTATTTTAATTCGCGTACAGCGCGAAAGACAAGTATGGACTAAAGACTACAATAGAGCTCTGCATTTTGTACTGCATTTATTTCTGTACTTGTGGACAGTTAGTCCGCATGACTATATTCAAAAATTGCAAAATCGTTTAAACCTACCCCTTTTTATAGTTTTTTTTTTTAGATGAATTGTAGCGAATCCCGTCTGGGGTTCGGGTAAAGATCTCGCACGTGTTCAAGGACGCATTTCGGCATGATTTCCCGCTTGGTGACAACGTTGAGCTGGCCGCTGTTCCGCTTCTTTTCTAACTAGGACGGGCAACGCCAGACGCCTAAATTAGCCAAGCAGCCCCAAAACTTGCGGTAGTACACTTTCCGAACACCTGGGTTTTTTTTGGAGATGGTCGCTGGCCTTCGCCCACCCTGACAGAGCCCCGAACAATTATGATGCAAGGGCTGCAGAGGCTATCTGCGCATTCCATTTCTTAATCAGCGAACAAATCGGAACAGAAGAGAATGAAAACTTCGTAATACCTCCTGTCTTTTAATAAATGGCATAATATGCTACTATTGCTAGTTGCACTATTTTACGTGAAGAAAATTGTGATATTGCGGTTCAATCTCCGTGTTTCCCGTTCTCTTTGCTGATACGCAAGATATTGGTCGGCTGTCGGGTTTTCAGTTACATTTGTTGACAGAAACTAAATGCACCTTTGGCCACGAAGAAATTTTTTTCAAAGGTAGGAAATATACCATAAACCGTTTCACTTTTTATGGAAGTTTGTTTTTACT